GTTGTGAATTTAAAGCAAAACAGTGTAAGAAAGAGGAACATAAAAGTATTAGGGAGCCACGTCCACTTTATCATTTACATACATGCATTGTTGTCAATCAGCTATTTTGAATGGGCCGATAGCTCACGATGAATATACACAATAACAACTCAATGTTTGTTAGCTTTAAAGTTCAATTTCCCTTCATTATGAAAGCAAGTCCAAGAGTCTGGGCAAAAGTGTGTTTGTAGTGACCATGCCATTTTCAGAATCAACCCTTTTGATGGAGTATTCTGAAATTACTGGGTCTTGCCTGACATAATTTGTAATTTAGCAATCATTTTTGCAGCAGCCGACGTCCTTGCTTCACGAGGATTGGAATGCATGTCACTACACCCTGAAAACTCAATCCCTTTCACCGTTACCCTGGCCTGGAATCCATCTGCAGTGGGCAAACTCACTGGAATCAGTTTGACCCTAACAAACAAATCTAAACAAGGTAGAACAATAAATTTAACCAAATTTGTGGTGACCATCTTCAGACATGGGGTAGTTCAGCAAGAGAGTGGGCCAGAACAAAAAGAAATATCAGAAAAAGTAATGGCAGCATACAGAGCCCACTGATGCACATTGGTAACTTAACCCAAAAACTTTCTTCACGAGGTCAACTATATGGAAGTAACAGCAATTGAAAAGAGAAGACATAACTATTGTTGAAATAATATTTTAATCAATATGCATGGTGGTTGGCTTCTTTCTATAGCTAATGCTTTCACTGTTTTGTCCTGCTCTAGCTATGGTCATCAAGCATCTTGGTTTAGCAATCATCCAATGATTTTTCGTAGATAGAACAGAAGAGATATTGGACAACATATTTGTACTAAGGATAAGTTTCACAATTTTGAGAAGTATGCAAATAAGCAGCATAAACATATCAAAAATTGAGATGTTTATAGTAGCTTGTCCAACATTTATACCAGAATATAAACATGCCAGAAGGCAACCCAAGAAATCGCAACGCAAACATGATAGCTTGAGTTATTGGATTGTCAAAAGGACCATGGTAGCGACTGAAGGAAATAAAGCAGACTGTAGTACCAGGTTGTTTTTAGGATTTTAGAAACTCTTTCAAGCATCCCCTTCCACATGCACGACGTGGACAGCTATCTAATGTCAGTCAGTAGTGCATGGTCTATAGAAAACAAATATGCCTAAATATCAACATCAAGTATCAAACTTAAAATATCTACCATCTGATGGGGAGACATGATAAGTTGGTAATATCCAATTGTTCCTACAACAAATATCATCTAGTTCCTGCAGAGAGAACTCTAATGAATTAGTAAGCAAAAAACAAAGAGCACTGTGTAATTCTGAAATCAGATTCCAAAAATACTTTATATTTGCACATATAATATAATTGTGAAACATATCTAGTGTTGCAAGATGGGAAATACAAGAGAACAAAATTATGATGGAGTAAATTCTGATCAACACCTTACAGGCTGATTATTTCCTTCTTTTGTATTTACTCAGGTCATGGCACTTGAGCACTATGAAACAATTCAAGCACGTGATCCTAGGAAGCTGCACATTTCAGCATGCTTGACATTCAAACAACGATATATGGCGCAATTATTTAGTGGACTTTTAATACAACCACAATTTAGTTTGATTTGGATCACTTTGAACTTGTAAAAAGTTAAAGCATAGATGACTTGGGTAGGATCTATGTAGTGGCACACGTATAGGTTTACATATGTTCACACCTAAAGAACATATGGTCTCATTTATTTGAAGCAAAGCTATCTTCCCCTTTCAGAGGCAAACTGACACTCATCCAATGAAATTTCTTATTCATTCTTGGACAAATTTTTTGGTCATTATTCTTGGACATGAACAACCACTAAATTGTGCATTTAAAACAGCAAAGTGACTCTTTCAAGGTGCTTTGTGCCATCTTTGATGTCTACATAGGGGAACTGAGAGCACTACGATCATATTGGCGATTTTAATAAGATTAAAACATGAAAAGAACATCAAACTCTAATGCTAGAACTTTCCTGACATGTGTCTTGCAAAGTGAGGATGGCCTCGGACAATCTCTTCCTCTTTATGTATTGAGGTGAGCCCTGATCTTCAAAATGTCCATCAGTCCCATTTTGAATTTTCGATTTACTATTTAGGCATGCATCATTACAACCATCTATGACAGCTTCTATCTGTAAAGCCAAATCATCTTGCCCACCTATTAGAAGTGAAAAAAAGACAGATTACCTTCCGAAAATTAAAAAAACTGATTGAGATATAAATATTTTCTGTTTATTTATTGCTTCCAATGAACCATCATATTCAGGATAGAATGTACAATGGACATGCATGTGATTCCAGGAAAATTGATCATAATCCCATAACTCAATGCCAATGGAACTGGAATCTCTACAAAAAAATCAGTACTAAGTTGACAGATGACAGTTTGAATAGTGAGAAGAATTGAGAAGAAGAACAAGGAACAAANAAATTGATCATAATCCCATAACTCAATGCCAATGGAACTGGAATCTCTACAAAAAAAGCAGTACTAAGTTAACAGATGACAGTTTGAATAGTGAGAAGAATTGAGAAGAAGAACAAGGAACAAACAAATGTTAAAATTCCGGAAAAAGACAAATAATAAATTTACTATTCCACTGATTGTTAAAATGCATGTTGTGTTTACATTACACAAATTCCACATTTCTTTGACTGTCCTAATCTTGTAAGGCAACGAAACAGTTTCAAACCACAACATTTTCATCATTTGACTCTTGTTAGTTACCTCATTTGTTGTTGTGAAAAGAATGCTGATTACTTAGCTTGAGGTGCCACCAAACTGGTTCCATTTAGAGGGTATTCTTAGTTTTTTGAGGAAGGTAAGGTTTGTGTGCAGGTTTCTCTTGTTCGTTGGCCTTGACTTTTGGTTTTGTATTCACTAGTAGGATGGATTTCTCATCCTAGTTGTGAAAAAAAAAAAGCATGGATTTCTCATCCTACTTCTTGTGAAAAAAAGGCATGGATTTCTCCCCCTAGTTGTGAAAAAAAGAAGCATGGATTTCTCATCCACCCATTATTTGAATGTATAATTATAAGTAACAAATAAGAGGAGAAGGAGGAGACACGATCAAGCCACATCCTCCACCCCAAGCTTTTAAAAAAAACTTCCTGCGAAACATTTTCCATTTTGTTGTAGAATTAAACAAAATAGATATGAGCAATAATCCAAATATGAACACACTCTAATACGATATAGCAGCACAATGTCAGATGCAAGACCCAACCAAAAGATTTTTCAGCTGAGTGAAATGCCAAAGTAGCTGCACCATCGCCTCTTGTTCTATAATTATGCTGTTTCAGCCAAGCTGAAGCAGCAAATTCCGGCGATCGACCTTGCTTAAGTATATGAAATGTGTTCAAAAAAAGACGACATTATGAATGAGCACATCGAAAGAATAATCCAGACTCATGCAACTAGATAACATGAGAATGACAATTATCAACACCAACAGCTTTATTTACATTACAGGACATAACTAAATCCTGTCTAGTCGCTAACTGGCTTAAGCAGCACAAGTGGTGTCCTACCTTGGAATTGAGATGGACTTTAAGGAAAGGTTTTTGGGGAATGCTTTAAAATGATGGGGTTTTTTTTTTTTTTTATGGAGGAGATCAAGAGCCACTGATTGCCATAAATAATTGACCTTCTCATCAAAGTCTCAAATAGGTCCACTGCAAGCACTGTGATAAAATTTGGGCCAACTTCACTTTACCCTCTTGTGGTTATACCTTNGGTGTCCTACCTTGGAATTGAGATGGACTTTAAGGAAAGGTTTTTGGGGAATGCTTTAAAATGATGGGTTTTTTTTTTTTTTTTATGGAGGAGATCAAGAGCCACTGATTGCCATAAATAATTGACCTTCTCATCAAAGTCTCANAAATCCTGTCTAGTCGCTAACTGGCTTAAGCAGCACAAGTGGTGTCCTACCTTGGAATTGAGATGGACTTTAAGGAAAGGTTTTTGGGGAATGCTTTAAAATGATGGGTTTTTTTTTTTTTATGGAGGAGATCAAGAGCCACTGATTGCCATAAATAATTGACCTTCTCATCAAAGTCTCAAATAGGTCCACTGCAAGCACTGTGATAAAATTTGGGCCAACTTCACTTTACCCTCTTGTGGTTATACCTTGCACACTACATCCCTAACTTCTAAAAATAGCCACGTAACTTCCACACTGTTTTTGGACTGAAGTGCACTGTTAGATTTTCTATCCAACTTAACTCGATGCGTANTTGCACACTACATCCCTAACTTCTAAAAATAGCCACGTAACTTCCACACTGTTTTTGTACTGAAGTGCACTGTTAGATTTTCCATCCAACTTAACTCGATGCGTGAGCCATGTGTAAGTGTTGTGACTGGGCAAGGGAAACACATTTTAAAATGACAAAAAGGCATACAAATTCTACAATTCGTCTTTATCCATAACGAACAAGCTTGATTATGCAACCCAATTCAATATTTATGTGAAAACTTTCTATAAAATTAGATTACCATTAGAGTTCAACAACTCGACCAACCCAGTACCAAGAACTTAGTATCTCTAGCTCAAGAAGGCCTCTTAGATCATTCCGAAGCCAAGGCTTAGTATCCACAACCACAGATGCAAGAGAAGACCCATTTTCTTCTTCATCTTTTTTTTTAAATAAAAGAAGAATATTATTAAGATTGACAAGAGATAGAAATTTGACAATATGGAGGACAAGATATCCTCGCATGAAATAAAAAGATACAAAAGAGAAAACAGCAAGAAGAAAAGAAAAATAACTAATTTAGAGCAGCCTTCCAATCTCTTTGAAGGTTCGACAAAGAGGCCCCTCTCAAATTCCCAGCAGGTTTAGTCCATAAAGAGGCATGAAACACAATTCTGTCCCCAAATAATTGCAATGTAACGAACCGGTTATTGAAGATTCTTGAATTCCTCTCTAACCAGATATTCCAAAGAATCGCCATCAACACGCAACTCCACAAAACTTTAGCATCTTTGCTTTTCCCAAACCACAAAATTTGGGTTGCATCGTCTCCTCCACAGTAGTTGGACAAACTCGTACCTCTCCAAACACATTAAACAAATTATTTAGAATAAATAGATGAGCATTAGACTCTCCATTGCTTTGACCAAAAAAAAAGGCTCCATTGCTCAAACAAGTAGAGCAATTTTCTTCATTATCTTTGGGCTCATCATCAAGCAAGAAAGCTGAATCAGAATTGTTATTATCTGGGTCTTCATCATACTACATATTATGAAATCCCAAGGAATTTTCGAGGTTTGATTGTAACGGAATTGAGGGATATGACCCATATGATTTGGAATTTTCTGTTTGGGTGAGTTGGGTGGAGAACACCTACTTACAGTTTGGTGTAAATCAACTGAATCTGAAGGTAGAGGGTAAACTGGGTATCCATTGAAATGTTAAGAAAGAGAGAGGCATTTGGAGAGAGAAATTGAAAATCGATATGGGTAGACACATGGTTCAGCACAGATGTGGAGTCCTACTGATGGCATCAAGGTGTGGCATAATCAAAAAGGTTCTTAGCCACTTGTTTTGTAAACATTACTTTTGTTTACTGGGCCATACAATTCAGTTTCATATTAATTTGAAGTTCATTGCAGAATGCATGGCGTTCTGGCACTATGTTCTCAGTAAAATGAAAGAGAACAAGAGAAGAAGTAAGTGGAGGAGCAGGGGTAAGGTCTTTTTAATTGAGCAGTTAATGGAATTAATGGTGCACTTTAGTACACAAAGAAAGCAGGAGCTATGTGGCTATTTTCAAAGGTGGGGGAGGTGATGTGCTACAGAGTCTAACCACAAGGGGATAAAACCATTTCGAACTCCGATTTTGTTCTGAAATGGTATTATTTTTATAGCCACCAACATTGTATGTTCAAACAACCAGATAGGATCAAATGACTAAATACTACCCAGAGTGGTTCAGTTGAAGTGGACCATATCTCCGTTTATGTGTCACAACCTATGAATAGCCGCAATTGCACCACAAATTCAACATGTTGTGGAAGAAGTATTTGGTTGATCCTATGCAAGGATCAAAATTTCGTTTCGGTGAATTACTTCGGTCGCCTAGGAAAGGAAAACATTTTGAAAATATAATGTAAATAAATAAATAAATTGTAGATTTATTTTCAAAATATTCTAAAATATAGGTTGAAATACGTTAAAATATCTCGAAACATTCCGAAACAATTGTGAAAACATATTGAAACACATCAAAACATTCTGAAACACTCAAAGCATTGAAATTTTGATTCTATTACTAATTCGTTTCGGTTTACTTGGAAACGGAAATGTTTCGGATGTTTCATCTATTTCAAAACGAAATTTTGATCCTTGATCCAGCCAAAGCAAGTTGATATAGAATTTTTTAGTATCGGTGTTCTTCTATGTGCAGAACTTCAAGGGCCCTCTTTGGGTTGTCATATAGAGGGAAACTTCACTAATTTCTTACTTGTCAAGCAGTCCATTCCATACACTACGTAGTTTGTATTGCTTGATTCATTTTTTTAATTTTTCAAAAGACTATTACCTTTGAAGTAAAAGGACAATTTCATCAAACGTGAAAACAATTTAACCACTTCACATAACCTAGTGATTGCCTCCAAGATATTACTTTTACTGAATTAGAAAGTGGACAAAGTACTTAACAAGTTGAAATACTACACCGTTTCAATTAATAACTACAAAGAGCTGAAAACAACTAAAAAGGGTAATGGGCCAACATGCATCTGAAAGTTTTATTGGATGCAAATAATGCTTTCTCTCAAGTCAATAGACTAGATTACGAGAATATATATAGCCCAAGAAAATCAAAAAAACTCTAGACTACCCAAAAGATAAATATACCCATATTATAAAAATTTATATACACTCACACATACCCCGCCCCCTTCAAACTCATGATGCAAGCCCAGATAGCATCGAGAGTTTGCCAAATAAGAATAAAAAACGAACTGAAGTGTGAGACTTGGTGAAAAAATCTGCAAGCCATAGCGAAGAAGATACAAGTGGTAAAATAATAGTGCCCAGCTGAAGATGTTGATGGACAAAATGGTGATCAATTTCAACATATTTCATGCGCTCATGAAACACTGAATTGTGAACAATTTGGATAACACTTTTATTGTCACAATACAGAGGAGTAAGAGAGGATAGAACAACTCCCTCATCAGCTAAAAGCCAACAAAACCAAAATATCTTCTCAGTGGTGTGTGCCATAACACGATACTCAACCAAAATATCTTGGCGAAAACTACAAGACTGGACAAATTTCACAACTCTGATCCAGGATAGAAACCTGAAATCTGAATTTTCTCACTATAAGCATCATGCCCAGGTGCATTCTAACAGTACAAGCCTTAAGCGCATTCACCACTTTGACTCAGCTAATGCTAATCAAAGCAAAATTGAATTCATATTTTTAATTGACATTTAATCTAATCACATGACCTAATGAAATAACTGAAAATAGAAGTACAAGAAAGCTAAAAAAAATCATACCATCTAAGATTGTCCGGATATTCTTATCACAAATAGCGATCTCATCTTTTAGATTCCGAAGCTGATAAGCCTGCAAACTCAAGCAAAGAACAATATCAATGAATTGAAATCTTCTTGACATCTAGATCAGGAAGCTAGAGCTCAGATTCTAAATGGTAAATGAGAGAGGCTAGAAATGATCTACAGAAAAAGTTGAAATGGAAAAAAGCCACTGCCCCTAAGCCTCCACTTAAGTGATAAAAACAGTGGGTTTATGTCCGGATCTTGCCAGAAAAAGGGAGGGCTGGGTGGGGCAGTGGAGGAGATAGAAAGCACACTTTGATTGGCCCATTGAGAAAGCATTCATAGGTCAGAAACCAAATCAGTCAAATGATTGCCATCCGAACAAATATGTTCTGAAGACAATTTTTTGGCCACAGTGCCATTGTGGTTCCAATATGGAATTTGGATACGTGGGTTGTAGTCATTGAACGTCAGGATGCTAAAATTTCTTGCATGGAAGGCAACAATTTCACATCTCTCTCTCTCTCTCTCTCTCACGTATATATAACGGACACACAAAAATGGATGTCGTGTCTGCATATATACCGGCCAACATGTTACATTTTTAGAGTCGGTAAATAATATACTGCTTGTCATTAGACCAACCAAAAACAACATATCCTTGAACTTTGATGTCAATGCATATAAGTTAATTTTCAAATATTTTCAGAGGAAGTGGGGTGCATGGAGATGAGAAACCAGACAAGCAGAGTCATTCTTGCTAGAATCAAATTAAACAGAGCAACAGGCAGAAGTGTAGAATGAGGGCATATAGCAGCTTCTGCTGGAAAAGACGTTTTGGCCTCTCCCAAGCAACCAAGACTATTGCTACAGTCACATCCATTTAGTTCACAATTCACAAACTCAACCAGTCCCCATCATCACCCCCATCACCATAACAATTATTGCTATTGTAATCATAAGTAGCAATCGTTGTTGTAATTTTTCTTTGATAGGAAACAAACTCTTGTATTAATAAAAAGTAAAAGATAAGTTACATAAAAGAAGTTGGATAAGAGATCCAACTGAAAAACAAAAAACAAGTACAAAAAGAGCCTATAAATCACATGAAGCTCTCCATCCCACTAAAATAGCAAAAAGCGGAACTCCATTGAACTCTTTCGAAACTGAAGTCCAAAAAGATGCTAAGAAATCAATCATTGTTGAAATAAGAAGCATTCCATGCTAAATCATGCCTTTGTTTCCTAGAATATGGTATTTTGGCCACATGGCAAATAGCCTCAAAATCCCACTTTACAACACATTACACCCTGAATTTACTTCGAAATGAAAAATACATACAAGGGCATATCGCCATCTGCACAATGGGACCGTAGCAATTTAATTTCAAGCTGAAGTTGGTATAGCAAAAACCACAAGCAAACATTACGCAAGTTTCAGCCACAAAGGTAATACCAGGTTTTCCCTTTTCCGGAGCAGAACTCTCAGGGCAGTTTCCGACAATGCCTTTTCTTTTGAAGCTAGGAAAACTTGTAGATTTTCAAGACTATTAGAATTCGTTTGAAAAGGGGCCAGTGAACAATTTGGGATACCCTCTTGTTCAGATGAGATAATGGTGCAAGTCTTGTTTCCTGTATCGTCCTTTTCACCACTACAATTAGTAACGCATGATGACAACATGGAGTCAACCTTCTCCTCCTGCCAAGTCACATTACATAAGAACAAAAATGATTGTTTGATGATAATAGATGGCAGAAATAAATTTGAACCGACAATTAGGTTAATTTTCTGTACTTGAGATTTTAATTCCATATAATATTCACAGGTAACATCAGAGCTGAACCAGTCTCTTTTCATCAACCAAACTCCCGAAAATCATAGTTATTAGTATCGTACGATACGCAATACGTATCGTACGATACGTCACGATATACTTGAAAAATGATACGTATTGTGTTTCTATATCGTTTTTGTACCGTATCGTACGATACACGATACGATACGTAACGATTCTGTTTTTTTTTTTTGGTTTTTTGGGGTTGAAATGACATCGTTTTACTTCAGGACTTATTTTTAAATCACTAGCCAGTGAAACATCTTCGTTTCAATGGTTATGGTTTAAAAAAATAAATAAAGTCTGTTGTTAATATTGTTCAATTGAATTCAAAAGTCTTGATTAATATTAAAATTCTTCAAGCAGTTGATGTTAAAAGTTTGAATTAGAGGTTTTGCATTTTGATATTACTAAATTATGTTGGGAACTTGAACAGTTGATGCAATATTAATAAAATACTATGTTATTATGAGTTTGACTTTTTTACAAAGGTATATACATATATTTTATTAATAATTATTTAAAAATTAAAATTGCGCGTATCTTATGATACATGATACGATATGATACACTATTTTTAAAAAAACGATATGACTTCCGATACATGATTTGACAACTATGCCGAAAATTGTTTATTCTATGTATCCAATCAAAGATCTCCCTAAATATCATTCAGGTGAGCACAATATAGAAGAGAAATGCGTCCCACTTATAGTTATAAAATTAGCCCACCAATGTTAATAAAAAAATAATCATGAAAAGAGATGTCAAAAAAAAGTGCCCTTAGATGAAGTTGAAAGGCAAACTTTGAACCTTTCTACTGATGTGGTGACAGGGCAGCAGCATAAGTTTCTCTTCTCAGCCACAATAACAGGACATAGGGAACATAAATTTACTGCACATTAAGGTTCAAATTGCCGAGGGCCAATCAATTACCATAAGGAGAATGTGTTTCATCTTTTAACAAAACTTTGAAGAAATGTTCGTTCAATTGGGGTCCAATGTGCCAATGTCAAATCATTTAACCATGCAGTATGGATTTGGAAGACAAGACAATGACATATGTTTTAAGTAGAAAAGATTTCTTACCTTAGCCCTGAGACAACTTTCTGAGGCATACTTGTTACTATTTGCAGAAGTTGCCATCTTCCTTTGTCTATGGTAAACTTCAATTACACTCTGAGTATTCTTGTTTATGTCTTGATTTTTAGGGCATAGCATGAAAGAGTCATTCGCATCCATACTCTGTGGCCCATCAACAGAATTGGACAAACAACTCATCTGGCGTCCATTACCATAGGTCTTTGGATATTCACCATCACTTCTTGCCTTGTAACTAATAGAATCTGCTACACCGATATTGCTATTGAATATATCTCTGTCTCCGGTCACTTCTTTGACAGGTAGGTTTTCTGTGTGATGAGAACTGTCCACATGTACATTTCCCAAAAAGTCCACCCACAAATCTTGCAAATTGTTTGAGTGTACTTGCCTGACACATTTCATGAAGTTCCGCATAAGACAAATATGAAGTACTAGATCATGATATCCGAACAGCAAATGGACAGTACCAAACAGAGATATCAGTCCAAACAATGTAAGTTATAGTCATGAGACAGACTATGAAGATATGCATTACAATTAATATGCTTTTATGAATAAAGTAAACCNTCATCAAGCAAGAAAGCTGAATCAGAATTGTTATTATCTGGGTCTTCATCATACTACATATTATGAAATCCCAAGGAATTTTCGAGGTTTGATTGTAACGGAATTGAGGGATATGACCCATATGATTTGGAATTTTCTGTTTGGGTGAGTTGGGTGGAGAACACCTACTTACAGTTTGGTGTAAATCAACTGAATCTGAAGGTAGAGGGTAAACTGGGTATCCATTGAAATGTTAAGAAAGAGAGAGGCATTTGGAGAGAGAAATTGAAAATCGATATGGGTAGACACATGGTTCAGCACAGATGTGGAGTCCTACTGATGGCATCAAGGTGTGGCATAATCAAAAAGGTTCTTAGCCACTTGTTTTGTAAACATTACTTTTGTTTACTGGGCCATACAATTCAGTTTCATATTAATTTGAAGTTCATTGCAGAATGCATGGCGTTCTGGCACTATGTTCTCAGTAAAATGAAAGAGAACAAGAGAAGAAGTAAGTGGAGGAGCAGGGGTAAGGTCTTTTTAATTGAGCAGTTAATGGAATTAATGGTGCACTTTAGTACACAAAGAAAGCAGGAGCTATGTGGCTATTTTCAAAGGTGGGGGAGGTGATGTGCTACAGAGTCTAACCACAAGGGGATAAAACCATTTCGAACTCCGATTTTGTTCTGAAATGGTATTATTTTTATAGCCACCAACATTGTATGTTCAAACAACCAGATAGGATCAAATGACTAAATACTACCCAGAGTGGTTCAGTTGAAGTGGACCATATCTCCGTTTATGTGTCACAACCTATGAATAGCCGCAATTGCACCACAAATTCAACATGTTGTGGAAGAAGTATTTGGTTGATCCTATGCAAGGATCAAAATTTCGTTTCGGTGAATTACTTCGGTCGCCTAGGAAAGGAAAACATNCAACATGTTGTGGAAGAAGTATTTGGTTGATCCTATGCAAGGATCAAAATTTCGTTTTAGTGAATTACTTCGGTCGCCTAGGAAAGGAAAACATTTGAAAATATAATGTAAATAAATAAATAAATTGTAGATTTATTTTCAAAATATTCTAAAATATAGGTTGAAATACGTTAAAATATCTCGAAACATTCCGAAACAATTGTGAAAACATATTGAAACACTCAAAGCATTGAAATTTTGATTCTATTACTAATTCGTTTCGGTTTACTTGGAAACGGAAATGTTTCGGATGTTTCATCTATTTCAAAACGAAATTTTGATCCTTGATCCAGCCAAAGCAAGTTGATATAGAATTTTTTAGTATCGGTGTTCTTCTATGTGCAGAACTTCAAGGGCCCTCTTTGGGTTGTCATATAGAGGGAAACTTCACTAATTTCTTACTTGTCAAGCAGTCCATTCCATACACTACGTAGTTTGTATTGCTTGATTCATTTTTTTAATTTTTCAAAAGACTATTACCTTTGAAGTAAAAGGACAATTTCATCAAACGTGAAAACAATTTAACCACTTCACATAACGTAGTGATTGCCTCCAAGATATTACTTTTACTGAATTAGAAAGTGGACAAAGTACTTAACAAGTTGAAATACTACACCGTTTCAATTAATAATTACAAAGAGCTGAAAACAACTAAAAAGGGTAATGGGCCAACATGCATCTGAAAGTTTTATTGGATGCAAATAATGCTTTCTCTCAAGTCAATAGACTAGATTATGAGAATATATATAGCCCAAGAAAATCAAAAAAACTCTAGACTACCCAAAAGATAAATATACCCCTATTATAAAAATTTATATACACTCACACATACCCCGCCCCCTTCAAACTCATGATGCGAGCCCAGATAGCATCGAGAGTTTGCCAAATAAGAATAAAAAACGAACTGAAGTGTGAGACTTGGTGAAAAAATCTGTAAGCCATAGCGAAGAAGATACAAGTGGTAAAATAATAGTGCCCAGCTGAAGATGTTGATGGACAAAATGGTGATCAATTTCAACATATTTCATGCGCTCATGAAACACTGAATTGTGAACAATTTGGATAACACTTTTATTGTCACAATACAGAGGAGTAAGAGAGGATAGAACAACTCCCTCATCAGCTAAAAGCCAACAAAACCAAAATATCTTCTCAGTGGTGTGTGCCATAACACGATACTCAACCAAAATATCTTGGCGAAAACTACAAGACTGGACAAATTTCACAACTCTGATCCAGGATAGAAACCTGAAATCTGAATTTTCTCACTATAAGCATCATGCCCAGGTGCATTCTAACAGTACAAGCCTTAAGCGCATTCACCACTTTGACTCAGCTAATGCTAATCAAAGCAAAATTGAATTCATATTTTTAATTGACATTTAATCTAATCACATGACCTAATGAAATAACTGAAAATAGAAGTACAAGAAAGCTAAAAAAAATCATACCATCTAAGATTGTCCGGATATTCTTATCACAAATAGCGATCTCATCTTTTAGATTCCGAAGCTGATAAGCCTGCAAACTCAAGCAAAGAACAATATCAATGAATTGAAATCTTCTTGACATCTAGATCAGGAAGCTAGAGCTCAGATTCTAAAATGGTAAATGAGAGAGGCTAGAAATGATCTACAGAAAAAGTTGAAATGGAAAAAAGCCACTGCCCCTAAGCCTCCACTTAAGTGATAAAAACAGTGGGTTTATGTCCGGATCTTGCCAGAAAAAGGGAGGGCTGGGTGGGGCAGTGGAGGAGATAGAAAGCACACTTTGATTGGCCCATTGAGAAAGCATTCATAGGTCAGAAACCAAATCAGTCAAATGATTGCCATCCGAACAAATATGTTCTGAAGACAATTTTTTGGCCACAGTGCCATTGTGGTTCCAATATGGAATTTGGATACGTGGGTTGTAGTCATTGAACGTCAGGATGCTAAAATTTCTTGCATGGAAGGCAACAATTTCACATCTCTCTCTCTCTCTCTCTCTCACGTATATATAACGGACACACAAAAATGGATGTCGTGTCTGCATATATACCGGCCAACATGTTACATTTTTAGAGTCGGTAAATAATATACTGCTTGTCATTAGACCAACCAAAAACAACATATCCTTGAACTTTGATGTCAATGCATATAAGTTAATTTTCAAATATTTTCAGAGGAAGTGGGGTGCATGGAGATGAGAAACCAGACAAGCAGAGTCATTCTTGCTAGAATCAAATTAAACAGAGCAACAGGCAGAAGTGTAGAATGAGGGCATATAGCAGCTTCTGCTGGAAAAGACGTTTTGGCCTCTCCCAAGCAACCAAGACTATTGCTACAGTCACATCCATTTAGTTCACAATTCACAAACTCAACCAGTCCCCATCATCACCCCCATCACCATAACAATTATTGCTATTGTAATCAGAAGTAGCAATCGTTGTTGTAATTTTTCTTTGATAGGAAACAAACTCTTGTATTAATAAAAAGTAAAAGATAAGTTACATAAAAGAAGTTGGATAAGAGATCCAACTGAAAAACAAAAAACAAGTACAAAAAGAGCCTATAAATCACATGAAGCTCTCCATCCCACTAAAATAGCAAAAAGCGGAACTCCATTGAACTCTTTCGAAACTGAAGTCCAAAAAGATGCTAAGAAATCAATCATTGTTGAAATAAGAAGCATTCCATGCTAAATCATGCCTTTGTTTCCTAGAATATGGTATTTTGGCCACATGGCAAATAGCCTCAAAATCCCACTTTACAACACATTACACCCTGAATTTACTTCGAAATGAAAAATACATACAAGGGCATATCGCCATCTGCACAATGGGACCGTAGCAATTTAATTTCAAGCTGAAGTTGGTATAGCAAAAACCACAAGCAAACATTACGCAAGTTTCAGCCACAAAGGTAATACCAGGTTTTCCCTTTTCCGGAGCAGAACTCTCAGGGCAGTTTCCGACAATGCCTTTTCTTTTGAAGCTAGGAAAACTTGTAGATTTTCAAGACTATTAGAATTCGTTTGAAAAGGGGCCAGTGAACAATTTGGGATACCCTCTTGTTCAGATGAGATAATGGTGCAAGTCTTGTTTCCTGTATCGTCCTTTTCACCACTACAATTAGTAACGCATGACGACAACATGGAGTCAACCTTCTCCTCCTGCCAAGTCACATTACATAAGAACAAAAATGATTGTTTGATGATAATAGATGGCAGAAATAAATTTGAACCGACAATTAGGTTAATTTTCTGTACTTGAGATTTTAATTCCATATAATATTCACAGGTAACATCAGAGCTGAACCAGTCTCTTTTCATCAACCAAACTCCCGAAAATCATAGTTATTAGTATCGTACGATACGCAATACGTATCGTACGATACGTCACGATATACTTGAAAAATGATACGTATTGTGTTTCTATATCGTTTTTGTACCGTATCGTACGATACACGATACGATACGTAACGATTCTGTTTTTTTTTTTTGGTTTTTTGGGGTTGAAATGACATCGTTTTACTTCAGGACTTATTTTTAAATCACTAGCCAGTGAAACATCTTCGTTTCAATGGTTATGGTTTAAAAAAATAAATAAAGTCTGTTGTTAATATTGTTCAATTGAATTCAAAAGTCTTGATTAATATTAAAATTCTTCAAGCAGTTGATGTTAAAAGTTTGAATTGGAGGTTTTGCATTTTGATATTACTGAATTATGTTGGGAACTTGAACAGTTGATGCAATATTAATAAAATACTATGTTATTATGAGTTTGACTTTTTTACAAAGGTATATACATATATTTTATTAATAATTATTTAAAAATTAAAATTGCGCGTATCTTATGATACATGATACGATATGATACACTATTTTTAAAAAAACGATATGACTTCCGATACATGATTTGACAACTATGCCGAAAATTGTTTATTCTATGTATCCAATCAAAGATCTCCCTAAATATCATTCAGGTGAGCACAATATAGAAGAGAAATGCGTCCCACTTATAGTTATAAAATTAGCCCACCAATGTTAATAAAAAAATAATCATGAAAAGAGATGTCAAAAAAAAGTGCCCTTAGATGAAGTTGAAAGGCAAACTTTGAACCTTTCTACTGATGTGGTGACAGGGCAGCAGCATAAGTTTCTCTTCTCAGCCACAATAACAGGACATAGGGAACATAAATTTACTGCACATTAAGGTTCAAATTGCCGAGGGCCAATCAATTACCATAAGGAGAATGTGTTTCATCTTTTAACAAAACTTTGAAGAAATGTTCGTTCAATTGGGGTCCAATGTGCCAATGTCAAATCATTTAACCATGCAGTATGGATTTGGAAGACAAGACAATGACATATGTTTTAAGTAGAAAAGATTTCTTACCTTAGCCCTGAGACAACTTTCTGAGGCATACTTGTTACTATTTGCAGAAGTTGCCATCTTCCTTTGTCTATGGTAAACTTCAATTACACTCTGAGTATTCTTGTTTATGTCTTGATTTTTAGGGCATAGCATGAAAGAGTCATTCGCATCCATACTCTGTGGCCCATCAACAGAATTGGACAAACAACTCATCTGGCGTCCATTACCATAGGTCTTTGGATATTCACCATCACTTCTTGCCTTGTAACTAATAGAATCTGCTACACCGTTATTGCTATTGAATATATCTCTGTCTCCGGTCACTTCTTTGACAGGTAGGTTTTCTGTGTGATGAGAACTGTCCACATGTACATTTCCCAAAAAGTCCACCCACAAATCTTGCAAATTGTTTGAGTGTACTTGCCTGACACATTTCATGAAGTTCCGCATAAGACAAATATGAAGTACTAGATCATGATATCCGAACAGCAAATGGACAGTACCAAACAGAGATATCAGTCCAAACAACGTAAGTTATAGTCATGAGACAGACTATGAAGATATGCATTACAATTAATATGCTTTTATGAATAAAGTAAACTGTTACATTAAGTGCAGCGACCACAAAAATACAATAAAATAATTCTATCAGAGTCTCATGAATTCATTAAGAATGTTGGAATGGACAGTACAGAACAATGTTGCCCAGAAAAATGTCTGCGGCGCAAAGATTTCATTTGCTCTCATGGAAAGTAAAGATAAAAAAGGAACGTGAAAAAACCGAGTTACGGAAATAATTTGATGTCAGATAGCATTTTGATGAAGTATTTGCCTAACCAGAGCTAGTCGTGAATAGTGAGGTTACCTAGGAGATGGATTCTATTGGTACATGGAATGGGAAAAGGGGATGCAATATGCTACAATAAAATGAGAAGATAGAGTACAACTCGGATGACACTGTGCATGACAGTGTAGTTCTAGATGCCAGAGCAGTTTTCTTTCAATCAAGCTATTGGTTAGCAGAAGAAAAAGGGGTTGGGGCTAATTACATCTTTGTTTAGTGGTCAAAATATTGGTACTTTGTACTAATACAGGGGTTTAAGCCTGTGAAAAAAAGCCAGAAAAGGGCAGACTTTAAGGCTTAATTAAGCACGAGAAGGGGAATTTGCAGGAACAGTAGCTTGGCACTTTGAGTTGTTTAGCCAGTTAAGATGATGGTGAAGGGAATGATTGTGCTTATTTTATTAGGATTTCTGGGTTGAAAGAAATTATCCTAAGATCTTTTTGCTGGTTTAAAAGTGCAGACACTAAAGAAGAAAAACGATATAGAGGAAGAAGAGAAAGNCTCAACCAGTCCCCATCATCACCCCCATCACCATAACAATTATTGCTATTGTAATCATAAGTAGCAATCGTTGTTGTAATTTTTCTTTGATAGGAAACAAACTCTTGTATTAATAAACAGTAAAAGATAAGTTACATAAAAGAAGTTGGATAAGAGATCCAACTGAAAAACAAAAAACAAGTACAAAACGAGCCTATAAATCACATGAAGCTCTCCATCCCACTAAAATAGCAAAAAGCGGAACTTNCTTTTGAAAATATAATGTAAATAAATAAATAAATTGTAGATTTATTTTCAAAATATTCTAAAATATAGGTTGAAATACGTTAAAATATCTCGAAACATTCCGAAACAATTGTGAAAACATATTGAAACACATCAAAACATTCNGCTTATTTTCGTTTAAGATATTTCTGTATTTTCTATAAATATTTGTGTTCTCATAAAATTTCACATGTAGTTTGTATCTTAATACGTTGATAGCAACATGATAAGGTACATGAGAGAACAGGAGTCCTCTACAAGATACAAATATTATAGTTGACTATCAACACTCTTAGCACACTTGTGCCCAATTATCTTTTCAACGAGCTNTCTGAAACACTCAAAGCATTGAAATTTTGATTCTATTACTAATTCGTTTCGGTTTACTTGGAAACGGAAATGTTTCGGATGTTTCATCTATTTCAAAACGAAATTTTGATCCTTGATCCAGCCAAAGCAAGTTGATATAGAATTTTTTAGTATCGGTGTTCTTCTATGTGCAGAACTTCAAGGGCCCTCTTTGGGTTGTCATATAGAGGGAAACTTCACTAATTTCTTACTTGTCAAGCAGTCCATTCCATACACTACGTAGTTTGTATTGCTTGATTCATTTTTTTAATTTTTCAAAAGACTATTACCTTTGAAGTAAAAGGACAATTTCATCAAACGTGAAAATAATTTAACCACTTCACATAACGTAGTGATTGCCTCCAAGATATTACTTTTACTGAATTAGAAAGTGGACAAAGTACTTAACAAGTTGAAATACTACACCGTTTCAATTAATAATTACAAAGAGCTGAAAACAACTAAAAAGGGTAATGGGCCAACATGCATCTGAAAGTTTTATTGGATGCAAATAATGCTTTCTCTCAAGTCAATAGACTAGATTACGAGAATATATATAGCCCAAGAAAATCAAAAAAACTCTAGACTACCCAAAAGATAAATATACCCATATTATAAAAATTTATATACACTCACACATACCCCGCCCCCTTCAAACTCATGATGCAAGCCCAGATAGCATCGAGAGTTTGCCAAATAAGAATAAAAAACGAACTGAAGTGTGAGACTTGGTGAAAAAATCTGCAAGCCATAGCGAAGAAGATACAAGTGGTAAAATAATAGTGCCCAGCTGAAGATGTTGATGGACAAAATGGTGATCAATTTCAACATATTTCATGCGCTCATGAAACACTGAATTGTGAACAATTTGGATAACACTTTTATTGTCACAATACAGAGGAGTAAGAGAGGATAGAACAACTCCCTCATCAGCTAAAAGCCAACAAAACCAAAATATCTTCTCAGTGGTGTGTGCCATAACACGATACTCAACCAAAATATCTTGGCGAAAACTACAAGACTGGACAAATTTCACAACTCTGATCCAGGATAGAAACCTGAAATCTGAATTTTCTCACTATAAGCATCATGCCCAGGTGCATTCTAACAGTACAAGCCTTAAGCGCATTCACCACTTTGACTCAGCTAATGCTAATCAAAGCAAAATTGAATTCATATTTTTAATTGACATTTAATCTAATCACATGACCTAATGAAATAACTGAAAATAGAAGTACAAGAAAGCTAAAAAAAATCATACCATCTAAGATTGTCCGGATATTCTTATCACAAATAGCGATCTCATCTTTTAGATTCCGAAGCTGATAAGCCTGCAAACTCAAGCAAAGAACAATATCAATGAATTGAAATCTTCTTGACATCTAGATCAGGAAGCTAGAGCTCAGATTCTAAAATGGTAAATGAGAGAGGCTAGAAATGATCTACAGAAAAAGTTGAAATGGAAAAAAGCCACTGCCCCTAAGCCTCCACTTAAGTGATAAAAACAGTGGGTTTATGTCCGGATCTTGCCAGAAAAAGGGAGGGCTGGGTGGGGCAGTGGAGGAGATAGAAAGCACACTTTGATTGGCCCATTGAGAAAGCATTCATAGGTCAGAAACCAAATCAGTCAAATGATTGCCATCCGAACAAATATGTTCTGAAGACAATTTTTTGGCCACAGTGCCATTGTGGTTCCAATATGGAATTTGGATACGTGGGTTGTAGTCATTGAACGTCAGGATGCTAAAATTTCTTGCATGGAAGGCAACAATTTCACATCTCTCTCTCTCTCTCTCTCTCACGTATATATAACGGACACACAAAAATGGATGTCGTGTCTGCATATATACCGGCCAACATGTTACATTTTTAGAGTCGGTAAATAATATACTGCTTGTCATTAGACCAACCAAAAACAACATATCCTTGAACTTTGATGTCAATGCATATAAGTTAATTTTCAAATATTTTCAGAGGAAGTGGGGTGCATGGAGATGAGAAACCAGACAAGCAGAGTCATTCTTGCTAGAATCAAATTAAACAGAGCAACAGGCAGAAGTGTAGAATGAGGGCATATAGCAGCTTCTGCTGGAAAAGACGTTTTGGCCTCTCCCAAGCAACCAAGACTATTGCTACAGTCACATCCATTTAGTTCACAATTCACAAACTCAACCAGTCCCCATCATCACCCCCATCACCATAACAATTATTGCTATTGTAATCAGAAGTAGCAATCGTTGTTGTAATTTTTCTTTGATAGGAAACAAACTCTTGTATTAATAAAAAGTAAAAGATAAGTTACATAAAAGAAGTTGGATAAGAGATCCAACTGAAAAACAAAAAACAAGTACAAAAAGAGCCTATAAATCACATGAAGCTCTCCATCCCACTAAAATAGCAAAAAGCGGAACTCCATTGAACTCTTTCGAAACTGAAGTCCAAAAAGATGCTAAGAAATCAATCATTGTTGAAATAAGAAGCATTCCATGCTAAATCATGCCTTTGTTTCCTAGAATATGGTATTTTGGCCACATGGCAAATAGCCTCAAAATCCCACTTTACAACACATTACACCCTGAATTTACTTCGAAATGAAAAATACATACAAGGGCATATCGCCATCTGCACAATGGGACCGTAGCAATTTAATTTCAAGCTGAAGTTGGTATAGCAAAAACCACAAGCAAACATTACGCAAGTTTCAGCCACAAAGGTAATACCAGGTTTTCCCTTTTCCGGAGCAGAACTCTCAGGGCAGTTTCCGACAATGCCTTTTCTTTTGAAGCTAGGAAAACTTGTAGATTTTCAAGACTATTAGAATTCGTTTGAAAAGGGGCCAGTGAACAATTTGGGATACCCTCTTGTTCAGATGAGATAATGGTGCAAGTCTTGTTTCCTGTATCGTCCTTTTCACCACTACAATTAGTAACGCATGACGACAACATGGAGTCAACCTTCTCCTCCTGCCAAGTCACATTACATAAGAACAAAAATGATTGTTTGATGATAATAGATGGCAGAAATAAATTTGAACCGACAATTAGGTTAATTTTCTGTACTTGAGATTTTAATTCCATATAATATTCACAGGTAACATCAGAGCTGAACCAGTCTCTTTTCATCAACCAAACTCCCGAAAATCATAGTTATTAGTATCGTACGATACGCAATACGTATCGTACGATACGTCACGATATACTTGAAAAATGATACGTATTGTGTTTCTATATCGTTTTTGTACCGTATCGTACGATACACGATACGATACGTAACGATTCTGTTTTTTTTTTTTGATTTTTTGGGGTTGAAATGACATCGTTTTACTTCAGGACTTATTTTTAAATCACTAGCCAGTGAAACATCTTCGTTTCAATGGTTATGGTTTAAAAAAATAAATAAAGTCTGTTGTTAATATTGTTCAATTGAATTCAAAAGTCTTGATTAATATTAAAATTCTTCAAGCAGTTGATGTTAAAAGTTTGAATTAGAGGTTTTGCATTTTGATATTACTAAATTATGTTGGGAACTTGAACAGTTGATGCAATATTAATAAAATACTATGTTATTATGAGTTTGACTTTTTTACAAAGGTATATACATATATTTTATTAATAATTATTTAAAAATTAAAATTGCGCGTATCTTATGATACATGATACGATATGATACACTATTTTTAAAAAAACGATATGACTTCCGATACACGATTTGACAACTATGCCGAAAATTGTTTATTCTATGTATCCAATCAAAGATCTCCCTAAATATCATTCAGGTGAGCACAATATAGAAGAGAAATGCGTCCCACTTATAGTTATAAAATTAGCCCACCAATGTTAATAAAAAAATAATCATGAAAAGAGATGTCAAAAAAAAGTGCCCTTAGATGAAGTTGAAAGGCAAACTTTGAACCTTTCTACTGATGTGGTGACAGGGCAGCAGCATAAGTTTCTCTTCTCAGCCACAATAACAGGACATAGGGAACATAAATTTACTGCACATTAAGGTTCAAATTGCCGAGGGCCAATCAATTACCATAAGGAGAATGTGTTTCATCTTTTAACAAAACTTTGAAGAAATGTTCGTTCAATTGGGGTCCAATGTGCCAATGTCAAATCATTTAACCATGCAGTATGGATTTGGAAGACAAGACAATGACATATGTTTTAAGTAGAAAAGATTTCTTACCTTAGCCCTGAGACAACTTTCTGAGGCATACTTGTTACTATTTGCAGAAGTTGCCATCTTCCTTTGTCTATGGTAAACTTCAATTACACTCTGAGTATTCTTGTTTATGTCTTGATTTTTAGGGCATAGCATGAAAGAGTCATTCGCATCCATACTCTGTGGCCCATCAACAGAATTGGACAAACAACTCATCTGGCGTCCATTACCATAGGTCTTTGGATATTCACCATCACTTCTTGCCTTGTAACTAATAGAATCTGCTACACCGTTATTGCTATTGAATATATCTCTGTCTCCGGTCACTTCTTTGACAGGTAGGTTTTCTGTGTGATGAGAACTGTCCACATGTACATTTCCCAAAAAGTCCACCCACAAATCTTGCAAATTGTTTGAGTGTACTTGCCTGACACATTTCATGAAGTTCCGCATAAGACAAATATGAAGTACTAGATCATGATATCCGAACAGCAAATGGACAGTACCAAACAGAGATATCAGTCCAAACAACGTAAGTTATAGTCATGAGACAGACTATGAAGATATGCATTACAATTAATATGCTTTTATGAATAAAGTAAACTGTTACATTAAGTGCAGCGACCACAAAAATACAATAAAATAATTCTATCAGAGTCTCATGAATTCATTAAGAATGTTGGAATGGACAGTACAGAACAATGTTGCCCAGAAAAATGTCTGCGGCGCAAAGATTTCATTTGCTCTCATGGAAAGTAAAGATAAAAAAGGAACGTGAAAAAACCGAGTTACGGAAATAATTTGATGTCAGATAGCATTTTGATGAAGTATTTGCCTAACCAGAGCTAGTCGTGAATAGTGAGGTTACCTAGGAGATGGATTCTATTGGTACATGGAATGGGAAAAGGGGATGCAATATGCTACAATAAAATGAGAAGATAGAGTACAACTCGGATGACACTGTGCATGACAGTGTAGTTCTAGATGCCAGAGCAGTTTTCTTTCAATCAAGCTATTGGTTAGCAGAAGAAAAAGGGGTTGGGGCTAATTACATCTTTGTTTAGTGGTCAAAATATTGGTACTTTGTACTAATACAGGGGTTTAAGCCTGTGAAAAAAAGCCAGAAAAGGGCAGACTTTAAGGCTTAATTAAGCACGAGAAGGGGAATTTGCAGGAACAGTAGCTTGGCACTTTGAGTTGTTTAGCCAGTTAAGATGATGGTGAAGGGAATGATTGTGCTTATTTTATTAGGATTTCTGGGTTGAAAGAAATTATCCTAAGATCTTTTTGCTGGTTTAAAAGTGCAGACACTAAAGAAGAAAAACGATATAGAGGAAGAAGAGAAAGGAGATGATCAATAGATTGGTTTTGACTTGCAAGTATATGACTTCCTGTTATGCTTATTTTCGTTTAAGATATTTCTGTATTTTCTATAAATATTTGTGTTCTCATAAAATTTCACATGTAGTTTGTATCTTAATACGTTGATAGCAACATGATAAGGTACATGAGAGAACAGGAGTCCTCTACAAGATACAAATATTATAGTTGACTATCAACACTCTTAGCACACTTGTGCCCAATTATCTTTTCAACGAGCTCAAAGGCATCCCTTCAAAATCTTTGACTTAGTAGCCCAAATAGAAGCTAAGAATGATATTTTTGTTAGAGTAGTTAGAATATTTAGTCGTACGGGTAGTTTAGTCCTTTTGTTCTTTTATGTTGCTGTACTATACAAGGGCCTCTTCTATGCATTTTTCTATTAAGCTGTAATGCAATCATTCTCCNCTCTTAGCACACTTGTGCCCAATTATCTTTTCAACGAGCACAAAGGCATCCCTTCAAAATCTTTGACTTAGTAGCCCAAATAGAAGCTAAGAATGATATTTTTGTTAGAGTAGTTAGAATATTTAGTCGTACGGGTAGTTTAGTCCTTTTGTTCTTTTATGTTGCCGTACTATACAAGGGCCTCTTCTATGCATTTTTCTATTAAGCTGTAATGCAATCATTCTCTNACCACTTCACATAACCTAGTGATTGCCTCCAAGATATTACTTTTACTGAATTAGAAAGTGGACAAAGTACTTAACAAGTTGAAATACTACACCGTTTCAATTAATAACTACAAAGAGCTGAAAACAACTAAAAAGGGTAATGGGCCAACATGCATCTGAAAGTTTTATTGGATGCAAATAATGCTTTCTCTCAAGTCAATAGACTAGATTACGAGAATATATATAGCCCAAGAAAATCAAAAAAACTCTAGACTACCCAAAAGATAAATATACCCATATTATAAAAATTTATATACACTCACACATACCCCGCCCCCTTCAAACTCATGATGCAAGCCCAGATAGCATCGAGAGTTTGCCAAATAAGAATAAAAAACGAACTGAAGTGTGAGACTTGGTGAAAAAATCTGTAAGCCATAGCGAAGAAGATACAAGTGGTAAAATAATAGTGCCCAGCTGAAGATGTTGATGGACAAAATGGTGATCAATTTCAACATATTTCATGCGCTCATGAAACACTGAATTGTGAACAATTTGGATAACACTTTTATTGTCACAATACAGAGGAGTAAGAGAGGATAGAACAACTCCCTCATCAGCTAAAAGCCAACAAAACCAAAATATCTTCTCAGTGGTGTGTGCCATAACACGATACTCAACCAAAATATCTTGGCGAAAACTACAAGACTGGACAAATTTCACAACTCTGATCCAGGATAGAAACCTGAAATCTGAATTTTCTCACTATAAGCATCATGCCCAGGTGCATTCTAACAGTACAAGCCTTAAGCGCATTCACCACTTTGACTCAGCTAATGCTAATCAAAGCAAAATTGAATTCATATTTTTAATTGACATTTAATCTAATCACATGACCTAATGAAATAACTGAAAATAGAAGTACAAGAAAGCTAAAAAAAATCATACCATCTAAGATTGTCCGGATATTCTTATCACAAATAGCGATCTCATCTTTTAGATTCCGAAGCTGATAAGCCTGCAAACTCAAGCAAAGAACAATATCAATGAATTGAAATCTTCTTGACATCTAGATCAGGAAGCTAGAGCTCAGATTCTAAAATGGTAAATGAGAGAGGCTAGAAATGATCTACAGAAAAAGTTGAAATGGAAAAAAGCCACTGCCCCTAAGCCTCCACTTAAGTGATAAAAACAGTGGGTTTATGTCCGGATCTTGCCAGAAAAAGGGAGGGCTGGGTGGGGCAGTGGAGGAGATAGAAAGCACACTTTGATTGGCCCATTGAGAAAGCATTCATAGGTCAGAAACCAAATCAGTCAAATGATTGCCATCCGAACAAATATGTTCTGAAGACAATTTTTTGGCCACAGTGCCATTGTGGTTCCAATATGGAATTTGGATACGTGGGTTGTAGTCATTGAACGTCAGGATGCTAAAATTTCTTGCATGGAAGGCAACAATTTCACATCTCTCTCTCTCTCTCTCTCTCACGTATATATAACGGACACACAAAAATGGATGTCGTGTCTGCATATATACCGGCCAACATGTTACATTTTTAGAGTCGGTAAATAATATACTGCTTGTCATTAGACCAACCAAAAACAACATATCCTTGAACTTTGATGTCAATGCATATAAGTTAATTTTCAAATATTTTCAGAGGAAGTGGGGTGCATGGAGATGAGAAACCAGACAAGCAGAGTCATTCTTGCTAGAATCAAATTAAACAGAGCAACAGGCAGAAGTGTAGAATGAGGGCATATAGCAGCTTCTGCTGGAAAAGACGTTTTGGCCTCTCCCAAGCAACCAAGACTATTGCTACAGTCACATCCATTTAGTTCACAATTCACAAACTCAACCAGTCCCCATCATCACCCCCATCACCATAACAATTATTGCTATTGTAATCAGAAGTAGCAATCGTTGTTGTAATTTTTCTTTGATAGGAAACAAACTCTTGTATTAATAAAAAGTAAAAGATAAGTTACATAAAAGAAGTTGGATAAGAGATCCAACTGAAAAACAAAAAACAAGTACAAAAAGAGCCTATAAATCACATGAAGCTCTCCATCCCACTAAAATAGCAAAAAGCGGAACTTCATTGAACTCTTTCGAAACTGAAGTCCAAAAAGATGCTAAGAAATCAATCATTGTTGAAATAAGAAGCATTCCATGCTAAATCATGCCTTTGTTTCCTAGAATATGGTATTTTGGCCACATGGCAAATAGCCTCAAAATCCCACTTTACAACACATTACACCCTGAATTTACTTCGAAATGAAAAATACATACAAGGGCATATCGCCATCTGCACAATGGGACCGTAGCAATTTAATTTCAAGCTGAAGTTGGTATAGCAAAAACCACAAGCAAACATTACGCAAGTTTCAGCCACAAAGGTAATACCAGGTTTTCCCTTTTCCGGAGCAGAACTCTCAGGGCAGTTTCCGACAATGCCTTTTCTTTTGAAGCTAGGAAAACTTGTAGATTTTCAAGACTATTAGAATTCGTTTGAAAAGGGGCCAGTGAACAATTTGGGATACCCTCTTGTTCAGATGAGATAATGGTGCAAGTCTTGTTTCCTGTATCGTCCTTTTCACCACTACAATTAGTAACGCATGACGACAACATGGAGTCAACCTTCTCCTCCTGCCAAGTCACATTACATAAGAACAAAAATGATTGTTTGATGATAATAGATGGCAGAAATAAATTTGAACCGACAATTAGGTTAATTTTCTGTACTTGAGATTTTAATTCCATATAATATTCACAGGTAACATCAGAGCTGAACCAGTCTCTTTTCATCAACCAAACTCCCGAAAATCATAGTTATTAGTATCGTACGATACGCAATACGTATCGTACGATACGTCACGATATACTTGAAAAATGATACGTATTGTGTTTCTATATCGTTTTTGTACCGTATCGTACGATACACGATACGATACGTAACGATTCTGTTTTTTTTTTTTGGTTTTTTGGGGTTGAAATGACATCGTTTTACTTCAGGACTTATTTTTAAATCACTAGCCAGTGAAACATCTTCGTTTCAATGGTTATGGTTTAAAAAAATAAATAAAGTCTGTTGTTAATATTGTTCAATTGAATTCAAAAGTCTTGATTAATATTAAAATTCTTCAAGCAGTTGATGTTAAAAGTTTGAATTGGAGGTTTTGCATTTTGATATTACTGAATTATGTTGGGAACTTGAACAGTTGATGCAATATTAATAAAATACTATGTTATTATGAGTTTGACTTTTTTACAAAGGTATATACATATATTTTATTAATAATTATTTAAAAATTAAAATTGCGCGTATCTTATGATACATGATACGATATGATACACTATTTTTAAAAAAACGATATGACTTCCGATACACGATTTGACAACTATGCCGAAAATTGTTTATTCTATGTATCCAATCAAAGATCTCCCTAAATATCATTCAGGTGAGCACAATATAGAAGAGAAATGCGTCCCACTTATAGTTATAAAATTAGCCCACCAATGTTAATAAAAAAATAATCATGAAAAGAGATGTCAAAAAAAAGTGCCCTTAGATGAAGTTGAAAGGCAAACTTTGAACCTTTCTACTGATGTGGTGACAGGGCAGCAGCATAAGTTTCTCTTCTCAGCCACAATAACAGGACATAGGGAACATAAATTTACTGCACATTAAGGTTCAAATTGCCGAGGGCCAATCAATTACCATAAGGAGAATGTGTTTCATCTTTTAACAAAACTTTGAAGAAATGTTCGTTCAATTGGGGTCCAATGTGCCAATGTCAAATCATTTAACCATGCAGTATGGATTTGGAAGACAAGACAATGACATATGTTTTAAGTAGAAAAGATTTCTTACCTTAGTATATATTTTTAATTTTAAAAATAAATTTAAAAATTAAAAAAATAAAATTTTAAACTAAAAAAATATTTTTTCCATCTTAACTAAAAGTAAAAATTTTTCACTCAACATGATGATAGGACTTGAACTCAACACGAACTTTGATTAACTCAAACATAAAAATAAACACGTCAACTCGTAATTCGACACGATACAATTAGTTAAATGAGTTGAGTTAGGTGTGACTAATATTTGACACAAACCCGTAATGACTCAACATGAATCTGACACGACACGACTCAATTATCACCCCTAATCTTATCTAGCAACAAAAAAATAATAATAATAATTTAGTCATTTTTATTTTCATCCATCCAACTAAACACAAATGAAGGAAAGTGTATCATTCATATTTTCCTTTTTTAAAGGTAGAAAGTGTATTTCTCATACTTTCTATCCTCCTTAGTTTCCATCTTTCCTACCAAACGGAGCATAAAATTTGTCACTTAATCACTCAGACCCTTGACATTTGAAATAATACACACAAATAAATTAACATACATTAATAAATTATACTCAGACCCCCTGAAGTTTGTAAGTGTATATTACTTACACCGTTCAAGTTTAAAATGTTATACTTAGATCAAAAATACTCCAATCAAAGGTCAAATATCAAATATTTTAAATTTTATAACAAAAATTCATGTTTTATTTTATCATTTATTAAAATAAAATCAAAAATAAAAATCTAATTTTTTCTTAAAAAATTGTAATTTAGTATACAATTATACTATCTATTGGAATAAAATTAAAAAAAATCAAACAAGGGGCCTAAGTCATTCATAATAGAACATAAATTTTACAACCAAAATTCATGTATGTTATTTATTCAAATAAAATCAAAAATAAAAATTTATTTATTTTTCTTAAAAAATCATAATTAATATACAATTATACTATATATTGGAATGAAACTAAAAAATTAAACAAGGGATCAAGCTGTAATTGATACAATATCTTCTAACTTTAATTGGGGGTAATTTAACAATTTAATTTGATCGTTTAAACTACTAAATTAAATTCCAATAGATAGTATAATTATATACTAATTATAATTTTTTAAGAAAAAATAGAATTTTATTTTTGATTTTATTTCAATAAATGTCATAATAGAACATGAATTTTGATTGTAAAATTTAAAATATTTAATATTCTATCTTTGATTGAAGTGTTTTTGGTCTAAGTATAACATTTTAAATTTGAGAGGTTTAAATATTATACACCTACAAACTTGAGGGGATTTGACTATAATTTATTAACGGATATACGTTACATTGACGATAGGGTCTTAGTGTTATGCATGTACAAACCTTAGATGGTTTATGTATAATATTTTAAATATCAGAGGACCTAAGTGATTAAGTACTAAACATCAAGGGGTATAAGTGTAATTCTCCCTAATTTTTTTCCAATCAAAATTTCAATAATATCATTGGCCTTTTTTTTTGTTGCCTTTTCTGAATAATTTTTTCGATAATGTAGGCAATAGGATTTTTCCATTTTCTTTTTGTCTTTCATCTAAACTTCTAGTTCATTTTAAAAAAATTGAATATAGAAATATTATTTCATCTCTTGTTATGTCTGAATTGTATTGGGTGGTAATTTAATGAATCAAGAAAATGCAATTTTGGTCATGAACTATGGGAATAATTTCATTTTCAAATTCTCATTGTTCCCAACTTAATCACATTGGAAAGTAAACCTATCTTTATGCTCTATGGTAGATGTGTTATCTTCTCCAGAGAACAAGTTGAATTCGGGGGTTTTATACCCTCTGAAAAACTCTTTAAAGTTTATCCATGGGGGATATGGCTTTCTAAAAACTAGTTTCTTTGTCCTTTGAAGGTCAAGACTATGCAAGTCTTAAATCATTTTCATTAATTGATTTCTATTGACACCCATGTTGTTATGTAATCCCATGTTTTCAAAAGATTTTAGGGGTTGCCCCCTTCCCCCAAGTCTGGGGTTCATCTCCTCAACTAGATTCGTAGAAGGCATAGGGTGTCTCACATGACCCCTCATGGTGTGATCTTGAGTCAATCTTGATCTATTTTTACCTCTGAGAATTCTGTGTGATAAAAATTAGGGAAAACTTCCACACACTCTCCTTCAAACATCATGTTAAAATGATTTTGATGTTGAAAATTAGGACCTATAGCACCCAACACGCATTATTGGTGGCACCCATCAATGATTTTGATGTTTTTTGGTAGGAATTACCACTGGATTGGTATTTCCTTTCTCTAATGTTGGGTTTCAAATAGCACTAGAGGACCTTTGATTCATGTGTCACGGCATATTTGTATATTCACTCATTCATGCATGACATTCATCAAATCTTGCCTAATTATTGAATAGGGATAATGCAATACCTACTTCAACTTTTGCACAAAATCTTGCATCAATGCACTATTCTAGCCACTGGTTTGGCCATTTCTTTGCATTGCAGGCTCCAATGGGTTGGAGTTTGAACTTCCTTCAACATGGTTAGCATTACTAGGCATAGCCTCTATGTCTTCATTGCGTTCTGTAGGAATGTGGAAACTTGAATACATAAAATAAGACATACCTAGTTACAATCCGAACACGAATAATTAGCGGATTTGAATAATGTTTTACTATTTCTTTCAAACCTCCTTGATAATCACGAACACCTTTGAACACGAATACTTCAAATCGTGATAAGTTAGGTTACACGATCCAAACTCAAATTTTCACTTTCTAGAGTCTCACACAAATCACAATATATATATATAGAGAGAGAGAGAGAGAGAGAGAATGGAAAGCTTTAGTCGTAATAATTTCTGTATATATCTATCTTGGTAGAGTCTCACTATATATAACACGTGGCGATAAGGTGGAGAGATTTAAAGAACTAAGATAACGCGGAGATATTTTAGAAACCAAATCTATCATTATCTAGGTTTGACTAAGTTCAAGTTAATCCATACACTAATCATCTTTATCTATCTGGATTGTGCCCGCCTATGGGCACTAATCTGACTCTATATCCAAATGCTAACAACTCCTACTCGCGTATGGCGGGGACAACACCGCAATATTCATCTCTCTACATAACTATATCATCGTGACTGTTCATACAGACTAAAGAATAGTGTGACCGCTTAGTCCACTTGCAATTAGGAGCACTATACTAGAAACCCTCTCGGTGCATGGTCGTGATGTCAATAATCTTCCTTTTGCCCTATTGGCACTCAGTTCCAAACTAATAGTTTTCCCAGCAATGTTTTGAAAAATCGAATCAATCATGGTCGTAGGTAACATGCCAAAGTAGCGAACATCAGTTTGTCACTTTATGACACAGGCAAATGTTACATAGGGCACAAGACAATTCATGAAAAATTATCCTTTAGGACTCATATAGTGAGGAAGCAAAGATTCATTCTCTTATCTCCTTGTCTTGGTCATCAAGAACATATAATATGAAGTACATGTTATGGTGGAGTAACTCTTCTAGAGAGTGTATGTCACAACCTCCAACACTATACATATTTTAGTCTAGTAACTCTCTGAGCGTCTAACCTGAGTCCTCACATTGCTCGCCACTTGTGGTGCCAAAAATGTAAGATTTGACATCTAGCTATCAATATAGGTATAATGGACAATGGGCATATCCATTATTGGTCTCTATCATTGGACCTCATCTTGGTTCCAACCAAGGCGACATATATATACATAGGATATGTGATCTTAGATTGCTATCTCAAGCGCCAAATAATAATGTCTCATCCTTGCTCACTTTCTTAAGCGCAAAAAATCAAGAGATAAATTACAACAGAGATACGCACTTGGGTTTGTGATGAAAATTACAAGACATACTTGAATACCTCTATATCGCCTTAGATT